CCTTTCCGATTCCTCGTTTCATTTACCATCTAACATCTCGCTGCTTGGTTAACGGATTACCATCTTCCTGCTTGGTTCACGATCTTTTTTTGGGTTAATTGCAGAAATAGCGCGCCTGTTGAAGTTTCGCAGCAAATTATTGGCGGGGCCCAAGTTTCGTTGCAAAAATGTATCTTTCGTTGCAGCTTTAGAGGTTCCGGTAGTTTCACAGCAAAAATATATGCTGGCGGGGCCCCACTTTACTTGCAAAAATAGATGTTTCGGACCCGTATAACATTTCTGCTGCCAAACTTCAAGAACGCGCTATTTTTGCAATTGCCCCTTTTTTTTATTTTTTTTTCCCCCTACAGGGCCCTGAACATGCAACCGAGTCTATCAGCTCATGCACCACCCAATCGAACCGATCCGGCAGACCTTTACGCTATCCAGACGCCCAGTGGATTCCCCGCGGGTACAATATGCGCACCATGAGCGAGCCATTAGATGACAGGTCAGATGAGTGATCAGAATTCCTGGAGACCAGCCTACTGCCGAGTTGATTACTGCATTACCAACAACTTTTCTTCCTTAAATATGGCCGAATGACATCAACAAGTATGATTCGCCTCAGATACGCAGACCATGTCCATTCAGCTCCGATCAACTTAATTTCGCTCATCGATCAGCTGCATGCCCGATCCTCCTAAACTTACTTTATTGGCTGGCGATCGCGCAAGACTCACCCACTCCCTCGAATCCCATCAACTCGTGCTTTCGGTGTTTTCCGAGGTTATGGCACACGTCTAGCAGACCCTCGCTTACGGCCACGGGTAGCTTATTACACGGGGGAGTTGAAAGAGCAAAACGAACGAAACCTGGCCTTATACACGTGGCTCCTACCACCCACTCAGAAGGCACCGATGCTCAGTGGGTGGATACTCGAGGTGGTTGCCCAGAGGCCGCGGCCCGCGAGAGAGAGGACTGCCAATCCTCTGATGAGACGCCGGGTGCTCAACACGGTTCACAACTTCATACACCTCGCTTACGGGTAGCTTATTACACGGTCCCGCAGAGTCGAATGACGAATGACTGTCTAATTCATTCAGCCGTTCAGCCGTTCTTTGGGGGGGGGGGGGGGGG